TGTCCTAGTGGACATGCTTCTTTTTTGAGGGAAGAGGACCCAGAGTGGCAGGGATGGGAAGCACACATTTGCCAGGTGAGTCACTTAGACTGATGACAAGTGAGATTAATCCTGCATCTGCGCTTTGGTTTCTGGATTTATACATTCTATTTACTAGGGACACAGCATCATGTAAAGACCTCTGAATTAAAGGGGACACTATGTCCAGAAGGAATGACGTCACTGTAACACATCATCTCTGAACTTGTACATACTTCCTTATCCTGCAGCAGGCAATTCCATTGCTCTATCTGGCCAGGAGCTTCTGCGTGCCACTGTGTGGATCATGTGTCACAGACCATCAACAAACCCCCTTTTCAATAGAATGGGTCCTTTGACCTGACTATTTGTGGAGTCTTGTAGTGATGAGTCATATGTTTTATAGATCCTAGAACAATGGTGCTGGCTAGGGATTCATGGGTAGGAAAAATGACTCCATAACTGTAGCTGTTACGGACATAACAGCTATGTAGACATAACAGTTATGTAGACATAACTCCATGTCTGTTCTAATCAAAACGAATCTGTATACCTTCCAAGGTGGAAAGAGTCTAGTGTATTCTGCTGGCCTCCCACTGACCAGCTGGTGCCATATAGACAGCTCCACAAAGGTCTCTATTTCTGGCAGGTGGGATATTCTGTGGCTTTGGCAGGTAGGAGCCTATAGTGTTGCATAGCCTCCAACTCTGTCATCATGGATACTTCTTTTATGTACCTCGTGTGTCAGCACTGGGGTGGATGATGACAGAGGCTGGCTCATGTAAGTTGGTCAATTCAAGTTTATTTACCAGGGTGCTTAGTGTTGTTTTCATGGTGGATATCTCTGGTGGGCATTAACTTGTGCTACAAATACATCCACAATGTGTGACCATACTCACATGTCCAAACCCACATCTCTAGCCAGAACTCACTGAAACTTATCTTTCAACATTTCTCTCTCCAGGACCCTGAGCAACCAAGCCACTTCCCATTGCCCAGAATTCCACATATCTTCGAAGCTTGGACCACTTCTATATCTCCACAAAATGGATGAGTAGGGCACTGTCTGAAACCTCTGATCATTGAGATGATTTCCTACCATCACTGTCTTATCCTTGAATAAAGCTATAGTAGTGTTGTCATATAATTCTGTCTTGTACCCATATCCCCAGCTTACTCATTCATGAACCAAACCCCTCCATCAGCTGGTTGTAAATGATCTTTGTTGCAACCAGAGATGTGAGCTGAGGAACAGGAGCTGGTGAAAAAGTGATAGAGGGCAGGAGGGTCATTATCATCAGTCGCACCCACCAGGCTTCTGATGGTTAAGCAATACTACCAGCCTTTATTGTTTGGGGATTTTACTCATTTCTTCTGTTCCTAGTGAGTTTAGCCTTATAACACATTCTCCTGCTCCAGGCTGCAGGAGAGAGTCGCCACCTGAATTCTTAGCAATGTTGGTGCTCTTCTCACCATTGTAATCTTTACTGTACTGGAAAATCATGTGACATCTGGGTTCTTTAACTTATTGGCTTTATTAATGATAATTAAAGCTATAAATGTCATCATGTCACTTCAACTAATTTTCTGCTGCCAAATGAGTTTGCAAAAATAAAAATAACTGTTGGATGTCAGAGATCTTTGGATTTTAGAATTGTGGATAAGGCATTGTCAGATGGACAGAGAAAGTAGGAAAGAATACATTCTATGGGATTCCTGTGACAATCTTTTATGAACAAGGTGTCATGGTCCTATACCCAGAGACAGCAAGGCATCAGTGCTACATTTTGTCCTCCACATGTGCCCATTCTCCTATGTCGATCCACATGCCCCAACACCAGAACTCCTTGATCTTTTAACCATTTTCCTTCCAGGCTCCTGATCAGCCAGAATATTTGCCATTTCACATGATTCCATATATCCAGTATGCTTGGGCTTAGATATGTAGTGGGAGGTAATTCTGGAATATAGGGGCAGAAATGAAAGTAGATCTGGAGGCTGGGGTCTCATGTCACAGCAGATCATTGCAACCACTCACCTATGACTTGGTACCAATGTGGGACAGGAGGAGTAGCACAGCTATAGTAGGAAGTTAGAGCGAAGCCAGAAAATCCTGTTTATCTGGTAGCCACTAGCTAACAACACAATTAGTGGTTATAATGAAATATAACAAAACATGAGTTTGGTTATTTAAGAATGTGTTTCAAAGACAGAAAAAAAATTCCCAAGACTCTTCACTGTTCATATTTGTAGACTGTTGTCACCATAAACTGTTTATTTAAAATAGAATAAAACAAACTTTGAGAAAAACAATGGGGCAGAATATCAACATTTTATGTTTCTAGCACTGGTACATTCTTCTTAGTCTCAAATTCTGGAATCATTTGTGATATATCTCTTTAGATCGTACATTGAACCAATTCCTATCATTCTTCCCTTAAAAGGTTTGTGTGCATGCTAAGTAGTTCAGTCGTGTCCAACTCTGAGACCCCATGGACTGTAGCCCACCAGGCTCCTCTGTCCAAGGGATTCTCCAGGCAAGAATACTGGCGTGGGTTGCCATGCCCTACTCTGGGGATTTTCCCAACCCAGGGATCAAACCCACGTCTCTTTACATCTCCTGTTCTGGCAGGTGGGTTCTTTAGCACTAGCACCACATCCTTTAAAAGGTATCTGACACTTATTCATTAAGTTTTGTTTCCATCTCTGGCTTTTGACTGCAGAACCTTGTCTCATTTTTCAATTATGAACTGATGTACTAATTGAGCTTTCCTTATCTAATCAATCCTGCCTACCACTGCTAGATTAGTTTTCCTGAAAAATATATTTTCAGTACCTCACTTTTTTTTTTACCAAAAACTATAAAAAAAAAAATAAAAGTTTCTTGTTAAAATAATTTTAACAAGATTTTTGTTAAACAATTTAAAAAAGAAAGTCTAAACTGAGAAAGTATTTTAGCAACCCATTTGAGGGATTAGTGTTGAAGTTAGCTGTTACATAAAAGTTGTTTCCAACTTTGCAAAAATCAGTCTCTAAAGAAAAACTGGAAAACATCATGATCATTCACTAATGAAGACAAAAAAAGCAACAATGCACATGAAAAAATGTGCGAGTTGATAATAATAAAAGTGCAAATAAAAATATAACTCACCTTTCTGCACTAACCAGAGAGGACTCCATACAGCATTGTTCTGGGCTCCTATCGTAACTTAAAGGGAAACTTTCATGACATCCAGAGACCTTGATGTTTTGCTAATGAGAGATAAGGATGTCCACAGACTCCTTGCAGCAGTAACCCACAAGGTGACATTAACCTTGACTTCCAAATGGAACAGCATATCAACAACAACAAAAAGTGGAATCTAATTCATTAATCTGTAGGGAAACTGGGAAAAGCTTAGAAGCTTTTGCTGGCAAACTCAGCTAATACCAGTATCGCATAATCGAGGAATACTGGCGATTGAACTGGCTAAATAAAGTTTGCAGCTGCCACTGGAGCCACTCCGATTGCTGGCCACTTAACTCCTGGAATCTTCAGCAGCCAGATCCAGGCAACCTTCTGCGAGCCATGGTTTCTGGTGGTGACTGACCCAGGGTTGGTCACTAGCCTCCCACAGGGACGCCTCATGTGAACTTGCCTGCAGGCACTCAGCAGAATAGGGACTCTCCTCTGCACCACGTGAAGGCTGTGATGGGGAAGACAGAGACCGTGCTCTACAAGGGGGCTCACTGGTGAGTCTGAGCGGGTGGGTGCTGACCCAGAAAGTTCGGCACAAGTATGGCACCTTCTCCTGTGAACACCCCACCCATGGAAGGTCACGTGTGATCTCTACTTCTTCAGAGGCCCTAAAGGGACGGAAAGGAAGCTCAGGCTGTTGCATAAAAGGCTGTTACAAAGGAGGGATTTCAGGATGAATGAACTGCTCCAGCTCTCAAATTTACTGCTACTCAATCCCAGGTTCCAGGATGGTCTGAAGGTGGGAGGGGTCCTCGGTGCCTATCCAGCAGTTTCCTACTGAAGAATGGAGAGCTCCACTCACCACTGGAAGACTGGTCTGCAGTTCCCACTGCTGCTGACTGGATAGTGAATGGAGGCAGGCATTGGAAGAAAAGAAGTCCCCAGGGCATGATCAATTTTCATTTTAGCACAGGATAACCTTTCATGACACTCATATCATGTTAAAAAAATATATTGCATGAATCAGCCATGGATTTACATGTGTTCCCCATCCTGATCCCCACTCCCACCTCCCTCCACATCCTCTGGCAAAAACCATTACAATATTGTAAAGTAATTAGACTCCAACTAATAAAAATAAATGAATATATGTATATATGTATAACACAATATTAAAAAATAACAACCTGGATTACTTGATGAAAACCATGAGAAAATAACAATGTCTATGGGGAGCAACAACTCATAAAAAGCACCCTGGGGGTGACGCAAAGACCATTTTGTGGGGGAAGGGGTTCAGTTTCAAAGTCTTACCTATAAGATATAGGGACAAGTGTTCAAATCTTAAATTTTAGTTGTAGGTGGAATTTACATAAAACGTTAAAAGTGGACATTCCCCCAATTTGTGTTTAATGTACTCTGTGCATGCTTGCTAAGTTGTGCCCGACTCTTTGTGACCCCACGGGCTGTAGCCAGTCAGGCCCTCTGTCCATGGGATTCTCCAGGCAAGAATACTGGAGTGGGTTGTCATGCCTTCCTCCAGGGGATCTTCCTGACCCAGGGGGTGAATCCACATCTCCTTTGGCTCCTGCATTGCAGGCAGATTCTTTACTGCTGAACCACTAGGGAAGCACTTGATGTATTCTGATGATGATCGGTTTGAAGGAGAAACACTCCTTCCAATCCCTGACTGCTCAAAGAAACAGACATCCTCTTTTGTGTCTTAACTTTGGCGACTGGCTGAACCAGAGGTGTTTTTCTTTCTGGTTGGTGGAGCTTCTCAGCCACCCATCGCTTCTACTGTTCAAAACTCTTTAATGTGAATGTCAATTGTTGTGTCCAAAACACTCAGTGGTCCATTTTCTACTTCAAGTTTCAAACAATCTTCAAGAGTTTTATTCATCAGCTTCTGCTTTGTGGCTGTATCTTTGAAGCTTCCGAGCTCTTCTCCAGCTTTGATCACATAAAACTGGAACTTGTGGAACATCTGATGGTCCTCCGTGAGTCTTTCCTGCTGCTTCTGCTTGGTGGAGAAGTCTGTGTTGTTTCCTGACCTCTTCGACACGGTTCTTTTCAACATCTGAACTCAAAAGTTTCTGCATCACTTTGTTTTCCTCCCAGTTCTTTATATTCTTTTTCATGAAGTTCTTGTTGCTCTAAGAATCTTAGTTTCTTCTTCCTTTTTCCAATAATTTTTAAGCAGGTGAATTCAAAGGCCTGAATTCTTCACTTTTGTTTGTCTCCTTGGAAGTCAGTTCTCTCAAATGTAACTTTTAAACCGTCACTCGTAAGAAAGAATATTAAGAGGGCTCTTAACTTTCTTCTTCTATGCAGATTTTTGCTTCTCCTCCTCTTCCTCAATTAAGTGCTAGCTCTTTGTCAACTTTTGGCAATTTCTTTAATTGGATTCTTCTTGCATGTGCTTCTTTTGTCTTTTGTGGACCTTATCTTTCCCATATGCTTCATGAGCACATGGATTATTGTGCATTTCATGAGTCTTATAACAGAGTTATATCCATGAAAACTCCATGCATATAAGCCCAGAGAAAAAAGTGATCCAACAGGATATGTGAGCCCTATATTTTGAAGGGCTTTCTTGGTCACAAATTTATAATCATCATAAATGTTGCTTTCTGTATCCTCTCCTAATTCTTCTGTCAAGTTGTCTAAGAAGGAACACATCATCTGGGAGCTGAACCCAAAACTAGATGACTGGTTTGTTACAAAAGGATGTTACTTAGGAACAACCAGATGGAAGAGATGCATATGTTGAGATTATAGGAAAGGGCAGGAGCTTTCATGACCTCTTCTACGGCACGCCTTTCCCTGAATCTCCATATTCACCAAGCTGGAAGCTCCAAGGATAGCATATATTTCATGAAGCAAAACATAAAACATAGATGTTATATATAAAATTATATTTATGGGGACATGAAACAGCGTATTGTAAGTTGGAATTGCCCTCTGATAATCTAGGACATATGATTGGCTAAGAGACATCATCAGAAAGTGGCGGGAAAATTGTTTTTCTACTTATGTTCATTATCACTCCTAGGCTTTCAGTATCAGTGAGAAAAATCATTGACACTGAAACAGGGTAAGCTGTTCTTAAGAATTTGAGGACATTGTGCCAAAAAATTAACAATAAAGCATTTCTTAAGAGTAGCAAATATATCAACATTTTCATAAGGAAATCCTAGGACTAGAAAAGGATATGACTTTTAAAATGCATTCCATATGCTAGGTACTTTCTTATACATTAACTTCTTGAAGCTACATATCCACTCCATAGGATATATATGGAAAAGAGTTTAGCCTAACTACTTTAGCAGAAATACTAAAGGAAATTAAATACCTCCTAGAATCTCCAGGAGAACTGGAAGAGAACCAGACTTGGGTACTGCAGTGACAAGAATAGCACAGGAAGGAAAAACTCCCAAACAGGCTTCAGACGTGAAAATTATTCTGAGAAGTTAACAACCATGAAGGAAATTCTTTCTGATGGCATCATGAGGAAATATAAGTACATTAGAAAATATATTCAGTATCTTCTCTCAAATCTCATATGATCTTCATATTTCATATGATTGACCTTCATCTGATTTCATGGCCACTACAGGTACTCAAAAACAGTGTGTGTCCTACATACTCAATTACATTGACTTTGATTCTAATGATTTTTAAGAGTATTTTGCAAATTGCAAGGCACTCAGCAAAACAATTTAGTTATCAGCTAACAGGCTAGAGTAGATTTATTATTTGCTCACAATTATTTGCCTCCTCTCCACCTTTGTCACGCTTCCCATTGATAGGGAGTATATCCTCTTGCTCCAATGACATTGGCTTAGCCATGAGACTTTCTTTAGTCAGCGGAGTGTGAGTAGATGTGCATACAAATAGAAGCTTTACCACCCTGTCTGGGTTGGCTCTGTCTTACCTAAGCTGTTGCCTTCGGCCACAAGAACCTCACCTCTCAGATAGTGGCGCTTCCTTCGCAATGGTTAGAGGCACGCAAGGAAGGACTCATAGAGCTGGGCTGAGCTCACTGACGCCCAGCAAAGAAGAGCTTTCAAGTTACATACACAACAATAAAAAAAGTGTATATTGTAGAAAGCTGCTGCAATTCTGAGTTTGTTTTTGCATTAGCAAAAGTTATTGATATACAGATCAAAATAATTTTTTACCATAGGGTCAAATTTAGACATTACTACATTTAAAGGAAAAAAGTCCTAAGATTAAGGTTGAATTATATTTGCTCCCACATATCATCACTAGAGTATATTCCACAGGGGACTCAGTCTAATGAAAGAAAGTATGTATATCACTTTTATACAATATATCAAACCTTTAGAGAATTTCCTAAATTTCTTATTATAATTTTTATTCATTGTAATCAGTTTCAGATAAAAATACAACATAAAATTGAATGTAGAATTCAGAAGTCATGATAATTAGTATGGATTTGCTTTAAAACAATGATAAACTTCTATGAATTATACCTTATTATTACTGTTGGCCTTACACAAATATAAACCAAAGGTTTTTTCCTCCTAAAATAGTAACCCTCAGATAAGAGGATATAGTTAGTTATTTTATATCTAAGTTCTTACAAAGTCTAGTTATAGCTCATCCTCTTTCAATTTACTAAATTTGGACTAATCAAATACTGTTTGGGAAAGAAAATATGTTAGTCTGAAATCACAAATTCAATAGTAACATTGAATTATTAACTAAATAAATTGATGAACGAAACAAGAAAAAAACTTTAATACAGATTTCTTCATTACTCTCACTGGGATGATTTCACAACTGCAAGTGTTATTGTAAACAAGGCTTGTAAAATTTACTTAAAAAGCAGAAAGTGTGGTTATGTTTTGGAGATCATAAATGCATGCACACAGGACAATATAAAAAATGTGTTAAAGTTTTGTGATTATATGCTCTCAGGATAAATTTTCCAGTGAGAATAACAAATATTAATACTAATCCAAAATGTGTTCTATCTAAAAAAAATGTGGTCAGACCAAATTATGTTCTCTCTGTGAAGACGATTCAGCAAGCAACTCTGAAGGCGATGAGGCTACTTTTTAAGATACATCATGAAAAGCAAATAAAGTGTTCGCAAGAAATGTGAAAAAGCATACTTCTATATAAATAAGGTAATTATATAAGTTATTTTGAATATGTCTTATAACATTTAACAAATTAAATGTTAAAAGTTAATATTTTACAATTATGGTATAGTTAATAAAAAATCACAAACCTTTTGGACCTTCTCCTTGGGAAAATGGGAGCTGGCTTTATATTTTGGGGTTAACTCATATTAGGAATGCATGGTATCTAACTCAATTTTGGATCAATTCATTTTAATATTTACCAAGCACAATTAATCTCTCATCCTTTTTCCATGCAAGATCAGTTCGCCCATTTACTAATAAGTTAATCAGTAGAATGTAATTTACAATAGGAAATGCCCATGTCTCCTAACTCCAGAAGCCTAAACATTTGACGGAAAGGCAGAGCTCTTATTTAATCATTCTAACATATTTATTTTTCTTTTGATTAACGAAGAAGCAAATAGAATTCAAGAGCCAGAGGGTAAGTTGTCACCTCAGACTCAGATCAACCCTTTGCTAATTAAGATATTGATGAGCCCAGTAGACAAGTGATGATTTGAATAGTGTCATCCGTAAAGGGAGGCAGCCAAATTGGTTTCCTTCAACCACCAATGAAGTTTAAATCAAAACTTCATTAAAACTACCAAGGCACATTTCTTCAAAAGTGGCAAAAAATGCTATATAGTCCACTTTTGGGATCTTTTCCCCCATAGTTCTGAAGTTCCAAAATTATAGGTTGACTTTTACTAAAGTGAAAACCCAAAAATAGAAATACTTTCCTATAGACCTGTGAATGGATTAGTATGAGCACATATAGGTTAATCCTTCGAGAATGACATTTAGTAGGACAATCAAAGTTATACTAGAAACTTAAACTCACATTGTCTCCAGGAAAACATGGCAAAAAAATGATAACCCAATGATTCTCTTGGTGCCAACTTGCAAAAATTTGATTTTGACCTCTTTCACTTGGTCCGGTATTTTTATTTAAAGACCAGTCTTTTTTAAAAAGTGCTGGAGAAGACTCTTAAGAGTCCCTTGGACTGCAAAGGAGATCAAACCAGTCAATCCTAAAGGAAATCAACCCTGAATATTTGCTGGAAGGACTGATGCTGAAGCTTCATTACTTTGGTCACCTGTATAAAGAGCTCACTCATTGGAAAAGACTCTGATTCTGGGAAAGATTGAGGGCCGGAGAAGAAAGGGACAATAAAGAATGAGATGGTTAGATAGCATCACTGACTTAATGGACGTGAATTTGAGTAAACTCAGGGAGACAGTGAAGGACAGAGGAGCCTGGCATGCTGCAGCCCATGGGTCGCAAAGGGTCAGACGTGACTTAATGACTGAACAACAAAGAGAACATTTTTTTTTAAAGTACTTGTGTTTTGGCATTGATCTCAAAACATTGTAAAAACTGAACATGTTTGCAAACTTTACTGTCTTCTACTCCCACTTCTGATATCTTTTCCTGAGCAACCAATCCTTACGCCAAACTAGTCACCCCCAGCTAATCCGTTGTTCAAACTGTGGAAGATGTATCGTATATGTCTGGCAAATCTGCTCTAGAACTTTGCTCCTTGAAGCGTGGTCTGTGGTCACACACTGCTCAGAGCAGCAGACTAGCAATGCAGACTCTCAGGCTGCACCCCAGACTTGCATCAGAATCTGCACTTTTAAGAGTAAACTAGACGTTTGGTTTGCACTTTAAAGTTTGAGTTACACTCCTCTTAGGATTCCTTTGTCATTACTCTTCAGAACTTCACTTCTCAGCCCTGGCTGCACATTAGTATCACCTGGGGAACTTTCAAAACTCCCGGTCTTGATGCCCAGGTCACACACTTATCTACAGTCAAATCACTGCGTGTGGTCCAGGAGACAGTATATTTTAATAATCCCCAGATGATTCTAATGTGCAATCAAGATTGAGCCCCTTTGGAGTGAATCAGAATCACCTGGTGAT